ATATATAATTAAGGACCCCTGGTGGTGCAGTGGTTAAGTGCTCCACTGCTAACAAAAAGGTCAGCAATTTTTACCCACCAGCTGTTCCATGGGAGAAAGATGTGCAATCTGCTTCTGAACTGATTGTTGTTAGGTTCCATTGAGTCGGCTTTGCCTCATAGCAAACCTATGTACACCAGAACAAAACATCACCCATTCCTGCACCAGCCTCTTAATCCTTGCTATACCTGAGCCCATCGTTACAGCCACTGAGTCAATCCATCTCATTGAGGGCCCTCCCTTTTTTCACTCACTCTTCACTTTACCAGGCATGATATTCTTCTCCAGGGATTAGTTCCTTCTGACAACATGACCAAAGTAGGTGAGACCAAGTCTGACCACTCTCACTTCCAAGGAGCATTCCAGCTGCACTTTTTCAGGACAGATTTGTTCTTTCTTCTGGTAGCCCATGGTGCTTTCAGTATTCTTCGCCAACACCACAACTCAAAGCATCAACTCTTTTTAGGTCTTCCTTATTCCTTGTTCAGCTTTCACATGCATATGAGGCTATTGAAAATACTATGGCTTGCGTTAGGCACATTTTAGTCTTCAAAGAGACACTTTTGCTCTTCAGCACTTTAAAGAGGTTTTTTGCAGCAGATTTGACCAGTGCAATACGTCATCTGATTGACTGCTTCTTTGACTGCTTCACATCTTGACTGCTGCTTCTGTTTGTGCTGATTGCGGAAGCAAGTAATATGAAATCTTTGACAATTTCAAGCTTTTTTCCATTTATCATGATGTTGCTTATTGATCCAGTTGTAAGGATTTTAATTCTCTGTATGTTGAGGTGTAATCCATACTGGACACTGCAGTCTTTGATCTTCATTGGTGTTTCAAGTCTTCTTCATTTCAGCAAGCAAGGCTGTGTCATCTGCATACCACAGGTTGTTAATGAGTCTTCCTCCAATCCTGATGCCATGTTCTTCTTCATATAATCCATCTTCTTGAATTATTTGGTCAGCATACAGATTGAATAAGTATGGTGAAAGGATACAACCCTGACACACACCCTTCCTGTTTTGAAACCATGCAGTATCCCCTTGTTCTGTTTGAAAGACAGCCTCCTAGTCTATGTAGAGGTTCCTCATGAAGACAGTTAAGTGTTCTGGAATTCCCATTCTTCGCAATGTCATCCTTAATTTGTTTTGATCCACACAGTCAAATGCTTTTGCCAAGTCAACAAGTAAACATCTTTCTGGTATTCTTTACTTTCAGTAAAGATCCATCCAACATCAGCAATGATATCCCTCATCCTACTTCCTCTTCTGAATCCAGTTTGCATTTCTGGAAATTCCTTGTCAATATTCTGCTGCAACAATTTTTGAATTATCTTCAGTGAAATTTTTCTTAAGTGTGATATTAATGATATTGTTTGTTAATTTCCACTTTCTGTTGGATCCCCTTTCTTTGGAATGGGTGAAAGAATGGATCTCTTCCAGTCAGTTGGCCAGGTTGCTATCTTCCAAATTCCTTGACATAGAAGAGTAAGTGCCTCCAGCACGGCTTCCATTTGTTGAAACACCTCAATGGGTATCCTGTCTATTCCTGGAGCCTTGTTTTTCACCAATTCCATCAGTGGAGCTTCAATTTATTCCTTC